TAACCCCGCCACATCCTTTATGTGCCTATCCCAAGGCAGAAAATGTAGTTCAGTGCTTGTCGTTGGTTCATGTCTATCATATTTGTTTTTTTGTAAATTGTTTTGTTGTATATTAGGCCGTTAGTTTTCTCAATTGAATTGTTTCATATATTTCATGTAGGGGCCTTTTATAGCCGACTATACGGTATTGGGTTTTCTCGTTGTTGATGGCCGTACGGTTGCCTATAATTGCTTACATCCACTTCATTTGAATTTTATTGGATAGTTGTTTCATTGGCAATCATACCACATCTCCTTATTTTTTATATTAAGTTTATATTTAAGAGGTCCAGCAAAAACACTTTAAGAAACAATATGTTCCTCATTTTAAATTATAAATTATATTTAAGGAGTAAAAATGTTAGTTCGATTGAAAAATGTTTAAACATGACAAATGGAAAGGTTAATGATCATTTTGAAAAAAAAATGCAAATATAAATTACATTTTGTCAGCAGAAACCGAGAAAAAGAGGACGAATGATTTGAGCTTTAAATGTGGACCCTCAAATTGAAAAAAAGGGGAAATTATCCAACCATTTCAAAATTATGATAATTTTATTGATAAATTCAATTTGATAATTGATAAAAATACCTACGAGTAATGATATATTTGAACATTGCCTTATAAATTTGTTTTGGCCTTCAAACATTGTAATAGAGATAATAAAAGCACTTTGAAACAGCTTAATGTCATATCGATGCCCGGTTTTTGGGAGTGCATTGCTCTCTGCACATTCAAGAACGATTGTAACAACCCTTTGAAGAGTCCGAAGACGACATTTTACAGTGCCAACTTTCGATCCGTATCAAAGATACCGGTTATCCCAATATTAATTGTTAATTTGTCCTCGTCCTGAATATGCACGAATTACACCAATATAAATAAAGGCAACAGTAGTATACCGCTGTTCGAAACTCATAAATCGATAGAGATAAAAACAAATCCGGGTTACAAACTAAAACTGAGGGAAACGCATCAAATATAAGAGGAGAACAACGACACAACAAAAACACAACATTAAAAATGTAACACACACAGGAACGAACTATAATATAACAATGGCCATTTTCCTGACTTGGTACAGGACATTTTAAGAAAAAAATGGTGGGTTGAACCTGGTTTTGTGGCATGCCAAACCTCCCGCTTTAATGGCAACGTCAAACACAACACCAAAACGACAACATCACATGACAGGACCACAATACAAATAAATGGGAGAACATATAGGACAAAGAAACACACGAATAATAGCTAACAAAAGGTACTAGGCTTAAAATTCAATACGCCAGACGTGCGTCTAGTCCACACAAGACCATCCAGTGACGCTCAGATGAAAAAAGCTTGAAAGCCAAAAGAAGTACAAAGCCGAAGAGCACCGAGGACCAAAACTTCCAAAATGTTGCGCCTAACACGGCCAGGGTTTTCTGCCTGGGACAAGAACATCCTTATTATTTAGAATAATTTATAATTTTGCAAACAGTAAATTTTATAAAATGACTATATAATAGATATACATGATAAAACCGAAGTGGGGACTAACTACATAATAAAAACGGATACATTACATAAAACAACTTAATCCAACATATAAAAATACACAGCCGAGTTAGCCAAAGCATCAACGAACAAAGTGACGTCACATTTGAAATTCTAAAAAAACACACAAAGTGACGTCACATTTGAATTTGTAAAAATATTTCCCAAAAATAAGTTAGGATTAGGATTGATTCAAGATTAGATTTGTAATACTGACATTACATTTATTAATAACAATGAAAATTACAATACTTATTAATATCAAATTGTGGTAGTAATTAGATAATTAATTGTATTATCTAGATATGTCGGTGTTTCTTCTGAATCAAACTGTAAACCAAATATATCGTATAAATTTCGTTGAACCAAACTAAAATCTAATAAATGAAGGGGTGATTAATTATCTTTACCATAACACACGAATAAAACAGAAAAGACGTTAAGACATTTGACAAAATCCGACGAGAATAACAAATATAACATCAAAATTAAATACATGAATTTGGGATAGAAAGGTACCGTGACACGTCTTATATAGACTCTTGAATTTTGAAGAGTCGGAGTAGGATGAACGGATTATATAAACCCGTAGGCAAATATAATACAAGCCCAAACGAAAAAAATATAACATAATTTAAATATGAAAGACAGGTACTTAACGTCGAAGGCGTTAAGTACCTGTCTTTCATATTTAAAATTCACAACAACTGTATGTTTTATGTGGGGCTCGAATAAAAAAAAATAGGCAGCCTTAACCAATTACTCGGGGACGAAACGTCCACCAGCATTGGCATCGAACCAATTGTTGTAAAAACTCATCGAAGATACCAGGCTTATAATTTACTACACCGGATATCATTTAGTCTACAGATGACTCTCCAGTGGCTATCGAAATAAAAGTTGACAGCCCAATGGAATTTGAAGAGAATTGCAAATCAAATATTCCAAAATTGTTGTGCCAAATCTTGTTAAAACCATCTATGCCTGGGAGTAGAAACCATTATAACATCTTACATATTATTTCTGCGTTAAAGTGAAAAAGCCATAGATTCCTATTCTTTTATCAAAACAAATAACTGTGGAAATATAATTTTGCATTAGTTATAGTATTAAAGAATTTACAATTTTTGTGGAGCAAAATAATCATTCTTATCGTACTTCCCTCGTTTTAACAAACCAGACTTTTCTTTTCCTTGATGGTGATGTTCTTTTGCCTTTGGATTATTGATTCTATGCATACATAAAAGAAAAAATAGTATACTATAACGAGACAGCAACTCACCAACGATATTACATGAAAGTTGTCAAAGAACGATCACGTGTTTGCAGTAACACGTCATCTTTTGATGAACATTATATTTAATATAAAAGGAGATAATAGGTTAAAATACATACGTCAATAAGGCCCAAGAATACAATAAAACAATAAAAGACATAGAGGTCACCTTAAGTCTTCAACATAAGCAATGTCTCTTTACCAAAACGAATCAATGTAATAATTTAAGTGACAATTAAAAGCTCCGGCTAAAACATTTTTACAAACAAGTGAAAGTATTTCCATCAATTTTAAGGAGTGAAAATGTTGATTTGATTAAAGAATGTTTTAACATGACAAATGCAAAGGTTGAATCATTTAAAAAAAAATATGCAAATATAAATCACATTTTAATAGCAAAATTTGAATATTAGAACTTTTAAAACTCAAGAATGGAGAACGAATGATATTAGCTATATTGTAGGCATATATTATATTCAGATTGGTTATATAATATATATATATATATATATATTAAAGATAAAATCACCTCCTTTATTCCGTTGGAGACACTTTACAGAGCCTACCCATTGGATTAATAGTTAATTTGTTCTCATCTTGAATATGCACAAATTACACCAATTTGCTATTCGACGTTAAGTACCTGTTGCTCATATTTAAATTTACTTATAATAGTATGTTTTGTGTGGTGCTCGAATCAAAAACAACTAGAAGCCCTCATCAATTACAAATTTCAAGAGCATTGAAAATCAACATTTCCAACAAATCACAGCAAGCTACTAGACTACTGATATTCTCGGGGCTAGCAGTGGCATCCAAACAATGGTTGTAAACACTGATCGAAGATAACAGGCTATTAATTTAGTTCACCGGACATAATTTAGTCTACAGATGACTCATCAGTAGCGTTCGAATCATACCGATTAAAAGCCCAAATCGAAGTTGAAGAGAATTGAAAGCCAAATATTCTAAAAGACGTTGTCGCAAATCTGGCTAAACTATCTATGTCTGGGAGTAGAAACAATTATTACTTCATAAATATTATTACTACGCCAAAAGCAAAAAAGCAATAGATTCCTATTATTTTACCAACAAATTAAACATAAATTTGAAATAGGTATAGGATTAAAGAATTATGCTATTTTTGCCATATTACGGAGCAAAGAATAGCTCTTATCGTACCTCCCCTTTTATAAAACCAGACAACTTGTCCTTGTTTGTGATGTTCCTTTGGCTTTGGATTGTTGATTTGTTGATTCTTTTCATGCATACAAGAAAAGATGGTTAACGATAATGAGACATACTCACAACAGATAAAACATGAAAGTTGTCTAAAATTAAAGGAGATTGTGGGTATACGGCAATAAGGCAATGACATAAGAATACAATAAAATAATAAAAGACACAGAGGTCACCCTTAGTCTTCAACATTAGCAATGTCTCTTTACCAAAACTCGAACTCTAAATTAACTCTAGTCTAGACAACTTATAACTAAATTTACAGACTGCCATAGAACATCTATCAACGCCAGATCCTTGAAGAACAAACATCTTTAATGTTTTATATAGACAAAGAGATCCACTGAAGAGGTTCCAGACTTTGGAAAAGTACATTATCATGTGGCGATTCTAACTTGTTTTTATAATTTATCTCCATCAGGAAATAACAATAGGTATTTAAAAAAACTGGTCAGAAAGCAAATAAATGCTTAATAAGTATAATAGACGACAAAAACACAAGTAAGACATAACCCAACAATACCGTATCGAATTCCATGGTGATCAGTTTTATTGTAGGAAACGTATTAACATTGGTTAACCATTAACCCTCAGCAACTAGTTGTCCAGCACAACAACATGCCAGTAAATTTCCAGAACATGAGATACTGAAAAATGTGAGAAGTTACGAAGGCGGCAATCAAAAACTATGGACAAAAGACAGACGAAACCATTCACAAAAAAGAGGGATGAAAAGACAAACAGGTATAAAAAAAAAACACAGCACAGAATACATAGCAATGATAAATCCACTAAATATTGCTTTTAACAACATTGGTTAAAATAATCGCTATTCATTTGAAACACCGTCTTACCTGATATAAAGATTCTCCGATTATAAGAGGTTTTGGGCCAAAGAAACCACAAACATTTATTTTAAAAATATAATTTATCTTAAAAAACATATATTGTGAATGTTCATAATTAGAAAGTGTATAACGTGATTACATAACTACATTGCAGACATTCTATTAATGTGAATTTTCATTGGCTTATGGTGAGCAATCAGTCAAACATAATTTTCATACAAAAGAGATCACAAAAAAATCACTCGGAAAAAAAAAGCAAAAGTATGGCAAGCCGTTCTCGTCAAAACCATGTTTAAACCACTTTTCACTGAGAATTAAAAAAAAAAACACACTGAGATTAAAAAACCTAAAAACACACACTGAGAATATGAAAATTACACACTGAGAATTGCATAAAAACCCACGGAGATTACAAAAAATGAAAAACACACACTGAGAATTGAAAATCACACACTGAGAATTGAAAATCACACACTGAGAATTGAAAATTACACAATGAGATTTCAAATTGACACACTGAGATGAAATAAACTGAAAAACACACACTGAGAATTTGAAATACACACTGAGAATTTAAAATTACACACTGAGATTTGTGCGATCTTTTTATGTGCACATATCTAATTAGCATACTTAATCTGAATCTATTACAAGCTTAAAACAACTAGAGACAGAACTCGTTAGTCCTTCAATTTGGCGCTAAATGTTTTATAAAAAACATTAAAAATGCAACGTATAGAAAAACTACGTTATCAATGACCAATAGCACAAGAAAAATACCCACTTACTCTCATTACAAAATATAACCAAATGGTGAAAACCTTTATTAAAATTATAAGAAAACAATAGAACAATCTGCAAAAATACAAACAATGCTGTGAATTTTTTTCCCAAGTGCAACAAAAATATAAAAGATTACCTTGCGAAATCAGGGTAACAGTTGAAAGACTTTTGAAAAGGGACCATGCTTAAACAGTTTTAGGCAAAAAATCCCAATATACTGTTAGTAATAATCTGAATTATAGGCAACAAACTTATGAATATGAGTTAGCAAAAAAAGTTGTTAAGTCTTGAAATTTATTACGAATGTTGGTTGTAGGAACCGCATTTCATTATAATGACAAGAGTTCGAGAGACCAAGAGATTAATCTGTTGAATTATTCATCTCATGAATATTCATTAGTAATTTGCATATTAATCTCAGTATGTATTTTTGAAATCTCATTGTGTAATTAACAATTCTCAGTGTGTGTTTTTCATCAGTGTGTCTTTTTAAAATCTCAGTGTGTAATTTTAAATTCTCAGTGTGTGTTTTTCATTTTTTTAAATCTCAGTGTGTAATTTTAAAATCTCATTGTGTAATTTCGATTTCTCAGTGTGTTATTTTAGGTTCTTAAATCTCAGAGTGTAATTTTTTTCGAAAGAATGGTTTAAACATAGTTTTGACGAGAACGGCTTGCCATACAAAAGCTTGATAAATTCTAATACATATTTTAGATATTCATAATTTTTAACCGTTTAGACGGGCGATTTAAGACTATTAGTATAGACGATTTTCTATAATTGGAGACTATGCTGACAACTTTTAAGATTTGTTGTTCTTATTTTGTATTTAGGTTGCTGTCTTCTTGTATCCAATGTCCTGTGTTTTTTTTGTACTATGTAATGTAGTTTTTTTAAATAAGTACTTAAATTATAAAGATTGCAAGAGAGTTTCTACCCAGCCGTCCGAATAACGGCCGTGGGACTTTATTTAACATTAAACCATTTTTAATGCAGATAAGTGTTATGGTATTATATAATTGTTATGTCTGATTTTGTTTCTCCTGGACCTACTTTTAATTCAATTATATATTTTGGATATACAATTAAATAAAAGTATCCCCCTTATGATCATCTATTCGAACGGATGATATACTGATATTTTGTATATGATTTTTTAGAAAAGGAACGAATCTGCCTAATATAACCGGCTTTGGTTATGATGACTTACGTTGGACAGCGAGGTTTTCTCTTTGATATGAAAATAGGAAGAGGATATGATTGCAAATGAAGCAACTCTCCACCAGAGACCAAATGACATAGAAGGCAAGCAACTTTCGGTTACCGTACGTCCTAAAAATGAGCAAAACCCATAACGCTTACCAAGCTTTAAAAGGCGTGGAAAAGACCCAGGTAAAACAATTAAGCCTTCTCGGCGGATATATGTTTTTTTATTATATTTATTTCTGAAATATAGCTCAAGATCAATTTAAATATATCTTGAACTTGTGGGGAACCCATTTGTTTTTCTTAGATAGGGTTCAAAAAGGTGTTAGCTATCTTTCTAAAAGACAAATGGTTGCAATTAATAAAGATTTGAAGCACCATATTTATAAGCAGTACACGTTTCATTTCATGTTGTTGCAGAAGAAACACAATTGTCATGTTATATTAAGAGTTTTAATATTAAGAGTGAAAATATTCACTAATAAAAGCGTCTCACTCGAAAATCATTCATCAGTTAGAACCGAATTTGAACTACAATTCAAAAGTATTTTGTGAAATATATGGGGAAAAAACGCGGAGAAAATAGAAATCAACTTAATAAGAAATAATGTAAATGATTAGTAAATCTAAAAATAAAACAGAATATGCAAATGGCAGTTCTCCAACAAGAATAAAAATTGCCGGTTTTAATTGTGTTGGATGAAATAGAATTCATAGTAAACTTCAATGTTTACTTTGATGGAGAGTTATCTCATTGGCACTCATACCACATCTTCTTATATCTATTTGAAAAACAAATCGAAATACGAGAAGTGCCCGGGACAGCTATTTATGTATTTTATCAAGTTTAAATTGAATGATCTTATTCATTTTAGTCTTATCAGCTAAATGGACGATCTCTACATAATAAAACGCTCTAAATCAACTTCTGACACATATTTAGGAATAGCAGACAAAACAGTTTAATAACAAATAAAAACTTCATTTTCGGATGTTTACTTAATTTGCCTCGTCTATTTAATGTTTTCAGAGACAATTGAAATGTCCATGCTATGTATAACATACTTGCTTTTAACTAATAATTTATTGTATTAAGACACTATCCATTATCACAAAACATATATCGTTTAAAAATGTTTGTTCACCTAGGTGAAGAAATTGAACGAAAAATGTCGTAAGAAATAATCGATTTTGCTTGGTAACATATATCCATCAAAATGGTTTATATTATCTACTTTACGTCTTAAATGTTTTGTGCAAAAAGAAACCTTAAGCTTGCAATGAAATTAAATCGTTCCCATGGGTCAAGAATGCCATCTAATAAACAAGTCTTTGATTTCGACTGCAAACTTCTATACCAAAGATACAATTCCCCTTTTTATCTTGTTCATATTAAAACTAAAATTCATTTCCTGGTCTAAAGATTTCAATTAAGGGTTTCAATAACTATCTGGTTAATATCCATAAATCATTTAAACAGATTTATTCTAAGAAAATTCTAAAGAGGAAAATATAGTACTCCCTATATTCTGTTCAAATATCATTCTTTTAAAAAAAAAATACTTTCCGAGAATTTTGCTCTTGGATTTTCTAATTCTAGTAACCTTGACTAATTCTAGTAACCTTGACTAGTTTGGATCATCAACAATAACTATAAAAGGAGATCATATGAGTATGTTTTTTCTCAAGTTTCTACATGTAATAATTGGTAGTGTACAAGACATTATTTTCTATTGAAAGAACTTCAAATAATACTAAGGTTAGCAATTCCTTAAGCAAGAACATCGTTTTTACCTATCAACAAACTTGGAATTGACTTTTTGATTTTTTTTCATCGTTTAAATAGATTGACGAACGTTAGTACTGTCCTGCTAATCTCGAGCATTTTGATAAGAGCACATGTCTATTTGCACTCTGGGTTACACAATTAACAATTCTCTAACGTGTATGTACGAATTTCTATAATCGAAAGTAAGGTTTTCCCTGGATACTTCAGTTGTAATTTATTGACAGTTGAATTTGGATTCAAAATTATATACATCATAGCATCCATCATGCCAATTCATTATTTTTCAAGATACTGAAAGAAAAAACTCTTTACTGAAAATAAATATCATTTCTAACAATTGTCTCAGCAATCTCAGAGAAAAATAACAATAAAAAAAAACCAGGTTAAAAGTAAAAATTGTTAAAAAAAAACATACATTGGAATAAATTTATAATAATAATTATGTCATTAAAAATTTATAAATATAATAATGTCATTAAAAAGTATCCAAACTTTTCCTATGTTGCAATTGTATTGCTTAAAAAGACATTTAGTAAGACAAGTGAGTTTTGCTTCCCATTAGATATTACTCAAATGTACGATAATAACAGTCTATTTTAAGCATCACAAACCACAAAAGAAAAAAAAAAAAACATATGAACATGCATAATACTATATTTCTACTTTGATTATATGGTTCTTGTTCAAAAATTAAGACAAATCGATGACATAATATGAACCACTTGATAGTATTAAAATACACCAGTAAGATTTGACTTGAAACAAGTAAACGTTCAAAGAGGGTGTTCAAACACCCTTTGGTGGCTTTTGAATAAGCATTGCGTATACAAATAACCCAATCCGTGATCATAGAAAACGAATGGTTATCACAACATATTAATTAGTCAGTGTAGGGCGACGTCAAAGCTGCTTTGTCAAAGATAATATCAGTCCGACTTGATGTATCTGAACTCTTAACATATATAATTTGATGGGACTATGAATGGCAGTACAAATGCATTGTCTTAATGTTGTTAAGTTTTAGTAAATTAACTGTTTGTAAAAAGGAGAAGGAAAGACAAGGCCCTATAACATTTTTTAGAAAATCAAACGGCCATTGTCTGTCAGATATCCATATTTGCTTGAGGCCTTCTAGCTGTTTGCATTTAGGATAGAAACTGCACACAGTACCAAGCCCCCCCCCTCTGAAATCTTGTAATTAATATTTAGATTTGAACAGCAGCACTTACCCTAAAATGTACTTTGTCACAAGAGTCTTTTACAGAACATGTTGATGTTGATAGCTCATATTAATCTTTACCAAAAACTATGTGTAAAATGGCAATTATAGATCAGATAAGTGACATCACAAACAACATCTCTGAACTTAAAGTGATCACTTTATAACTTAAATAACGATGATTTTAATAGGGTTGAAAATTTAAACTATAATTTTTGCATTGTCAGAGGTCAAATAACTGCTCTTATCGCGCCCCTCCCTTTCATAATTGCCAGTACTCATAGGCAAAAAAAACAAGGAAAAATAGGAACACTGTAAATAAATTATATAATGTTGATAACAACAATAATGTTAGTAATATTAATAATAAATCGGTATTAATGTATGTTTAGATATATTATGGATCCATATTGTTATGAAAAACAAACTTTTCATATATCGATACAATATTAAGTTGTCATTCACATACACAAAAGTGAATAAAAAACAAACGTACTAAATTTGCTTGAAGACACCACGTCCTTCATAATAGAAAGTTATTTTGAAGCATGTCCTTGGATACTGTATTTTTTAGAATCGTTTTATTGATCAAACCTTCAATTCAGGATGAATAATATGATTATTCTTTAAAAAGTAAATTATTTTGATTCTCTAAATAACACTTTCAGTCGATTAGGAGATTTGTTTGTTTGTTCTTGATAAAGGAATTTAATGTTAAAAAGTGACGCGTTGTTTTTTTAACTCCTGTAGAAGTAATGGATTTCATAAATCTAAATACTTTGACCAGTATGCGTACAATTCGATCAGAAGCACAATGATTTAATTGAAATATTCACCGCAGCAATCTGATGTTTAAAAGACTATTTTACCGATCAAACAACCAAGTGTAAACAAATCTCTTTGTAATATCAGTGTGCAGTCATGCTTTAAAAATAAATATGCAACATACATGATAAATGTAAACATTTGATACGCAAAATTAGATATAAAAATGATTTTCGTTTGACTTGATTTATACATTGGCATTTTAGTATGTCACAGATGTGATGTTGAAATTGATTTCTGATTTCCCTTAAACATCTTCCTGTCCAAGTTTTCTATCTAATATGGCCATAGGACCAACAGGTCCTTGGAAACCACCACCGTGTGACGACATTTGTCCTCTTTGTGCGGTTTCCCAAAGCTGTTTTTGCATAAGTGCCAGAGAAATTTTGTTAGTATGTAGAAAATCCTTCATTGATATCATTTCGTCTGAATTGCGTCTATCGGAATCGCTGTCGCTATCTGCTTTGTCACCCTTTTTATGTCGCGCACTTCCGTTTAAATGTCTGGGTGTAATGGCGTTTCTTCTTCCTCTCGATCTTTTCCGGCGTCGACAATGACAGTTTAATTTAGAAATCATCCAATTTAAAAACTGTTTTATCACAATGGATGTTACATTAAACAAACTATATATACAACAACAACCTAAAACAATAAATATGAAATTTCCCAGGCGATAAAAGTGTCTATTTTCATAATCATCTTTTTGACTAACCACATAATCACCAAATCCAATCGTTGCAAAAGTTACAAAGCAAAAATAAATAGCTTCAAAGTACGTCCAATCTTCCACCGGATAATACATCGCAGAAGCACAGCAGGCGACAACTACAGCTCCTAACAACAAAATAAGCATGACCCAATACACCGAAGGTTTCCATGTGTCTAATTGTTCATCGTCCGAGATATGAGAATTTCGTCTATCTTTATTATCTATACCTTTTATTCGTAGTTTTCTTTCATGAATTGCTCGTAGGATATATGCAAGGAATGTGATGATTCTTTCAAGAAATAAATTGAAAAACAGTATAGCGCCAGCGCATCCTAAAAATCCATAGAAAATTAACAGTATTTTCCCACCAATCGTTCGTGGCGTTGTCATACCAAATCCTGAAAATAAAATAATGTAATGCATAAATTTCTTATTCATATAAACAAAGTTCGACTATATGTAAAGGGATTAGTGCAAACAGTTATCTCTATAAATACTGGTAGTAGGTGGTAAAAATGTCACAAACATTTTAAACAGTACTTAATATCACATATATACACTACTTTTTCGTATTTGAAGACCCTCCCAAGGGTAAATTGGGAATACAATTATGGTCACTTTGGTCTTCTTCCGACCGGCAGTAAAACCTTTGCTAAAGTGGGGCGTCCGTTTGACTGTGTGGGATGTACAAGTACAAAGCGACGTCCGGTCAGAATGGGGACGTTAAATCCTATGCCTCGTGTAAAGAGAGTACCATACCCTTGTAACAACTCTTCGAGGGGTCAGTAGATGACCTGTTGCAAGGCAAAATGTGTGTCCCTATCCAATATATCCTCATTTTCTAGTGGCAGTCCAAATCCTTGACCTTCATCCCGGACGACCTTTATTAAGGACCTACCTGCTGTATTTAATTGTTATTTTGTTTTCGTCCTGAACATGCATGAAATATTTGCCAATGGACGTTATCAATTAACAATCAATCAATCGTATTTGAAGAAGGTTTTATTTTATGATCATCTCGTATGCTACGACGTTTAACAACGTCGGAGTTTAAAATGTTCAATTTTATATACAAAAATCTCTTTTAAAGAGATATGCTATCTCACTTGTTGAGTTGTAGCATCTAAATTACATATTGCAGGTAAAATGGTCATCCGTGTATAGTATACGAGAAGATAACTTAAATTTGCAAATAACTAATAATTAATAATTCGTTCCCGTTTCTAGTTATAAACTATAACGATTGTCAAACCGTGTAATAGCCCATTTTTTATGGTTTATATAACTTTGTGACATATATTGAATTAAACTTGTCATGTATCTATTGTATATAAAGCAAAAGCGTCAATTAGGTGTGAAATTGGATAAAATACCTCTGGAAGCATCTAACTGTTAAACGACTGAAGTAGAACTCAAATACAACTGAGAGACTCTGCCAGACTAATTCACATCCAACGTTACAGCATCCAAAACCTTAATTCTGAGGTTAAACTTTAAAAACGTAACTTGAAAAATGACTATCATATCAGAAACTGAAATGAAATGTTTGTACATGTATGTCTATCATCAGAGTGTAAGAACCGGTTGTAGACCTGCACAAAGAATTCGAGTCTTATTTCAGTCTTTTGAATTTGTTAGGGCAATTTTATATACATATAATCAATGTTCAGTTAATTCGACAAGTTCTGGTATAGAAAATGAGACTGTGCTATTTTCATAATTCCTAAGTTTTATTTGCCCGTCAGAGTCAATTCAAACAAAGTATTCAGATATAAAGCAGCATTTTTTCTCTCTATAATATCATATACTATATACAAGTTCAGATGGATATATGTACTCCATATGAAAAAAAAATGTTATTGAGTGAAACGACATCTATATATCTGAAAGTAAAATTAAACGATTTTGCGAAATGTTTTTCTGACTTCTAATTATAAAGAAAGGTTTGTATATATTCTATTTCATACGAGTGTAAGATCAAGTCGGATAACAGGGGCGCACTGATAGGACTCACTTGAATGTCGGTCAAAATGTTCATCTGTTTGGAATCCATACGATTTAATTATAAGTAGTCTTGGTAAGAAAATATGTTTAGCTGGGATTACCAGATGTATTCTTGATTCTAACCTCTTAAAGGAGTCATGGTAATGTTTGCCTACGTGAGTTAATATGGTTACAGACATAGACTACATGAACGTATTGAGCATGCGGAAAAAAATCTGGACGATGAAAAAGAGCATGCAGGATGATTAAGGAATATATAACCCTCATCAATCTGATTCTTTGACCGGCTCTGGCTTTACCTTTTGTCCTTTTTGGTCTATAAGCTCTTCATTTTTTTTATAAGTTTTTGATTTTCAAATATTTTGTTCTCAAGCATCACTGAAGAGACATTTATTGCTCATCGCCCTTACTAGATGAATAAATGTATTAAATAGTTTAGTATGTTTAACAATATTCATGATTATGGACGCAGTCTAGCTATATTCTTTGGAAGAACAAGCAAAGATCCCGTGATGTTATGATAATCCAGAAAGCTTTTTCGAAATTCACTTCATAATAACATTTCATCGGGAACAAAAATGACATTTATTGAAGATTTCATTTTCAAATGTCATAAAATGAAAAATTATGAATTTAATGAATAATTAACGCTTTTAAATGTCAATCAATAAAGTCGATTATATATAACAAGAAAGTACGAAATAAATCTAATCTGAATATATTATTAAATCAATTGATTTCTGATCTTCTGATGAAATAATCATTCTTTGTCATGAAGAATCGAGACTTGAAAGAGTAAATTTATTTTATTTATGTGAAAATAGCCCTACATCATTGCTGCCTTTAATTAAGTATATATCTAACTATTTATTTCTCTGAAGTAGGAATAATCCAGGTGACTGGTCCATTTTTTTCGAATGTTTCTAGTTAACAAAACACAAAAAAGCTAAATACGAGATGATATATGAATTAAAACTAAATTTACTCTTCACTGGGGACATTAAATCAAGTAATCCGTGCAAATGGCTTGTTTTTTACTCTTAACTATTGTGTTGTTTAACCAAGATTGCAAATTTCTTTGTTTCGTTTTTTTTTTCTCAACTTAACAGAATATTTCTTAATGATATTTAAGGTAAACCAGGGGTCTTCATCAAATTTGATAGATTTTTAATGAATGCCAAAATGTAGTTTATATCATGCCTTTTTCAAAAATACAATAAAAAGTATGGATAACGGAGACTGTTTCTAGCTACAGCTTGTACAAAATAGTCAGATTTTGTCTGGATTATACATGGAAAAACCTAATTTTGTGTGATATCAAGAAAACTAAACGATATGAATTTAAGATAAAATATGAAAATATCATTTTCATTACGTGCTTTCAGAAAAGAAAAGGAAAAATTTGGGTTACGGGACTCGTATACTTGCTACAAAACAAATAGTTAAATTTCATACACATTCCTTCATAAAAGGAAGGTTATCAGAGTGATCTCCCCTTATATGACAATGTAGAACAAAATTGAATAGCACAGATCTGTATTTCTTTTTATAAATAGACGTAATAATTAAAATAAACACATAATTGTCTCCATTCAGGTGAATAGTCTTACAATATAACATTACTCTCTCAAAATTTGTATATTTTATCAAAGATCTAGACCGATTGTGTCCTGCTATTTTACGACCCAAGATGGCAGAAGACACACGATCTACCTTAATACGATTGATGAGACTTGACAAATTCCTTTTTAGGTTTTATTGTGTTGTTAGTTTGTTCATATCGAACTCACTGTTTTATTTCTGTTATTCTTAGGAAACCATATACAACAGTAAGTTGTGTTTATACAAACTATCCAAAAAGTTAATATCCCTTACAATACTGTACTACAAAGGGGAAGTTAAGAGCCACAAAACATGGTTTAATTCACCACTATTCGAATGGCTAGTACAAAAACAGAACGGGCATATTTCATTTTTTTTTTTATTGTTTCATTAATTGAAATAGAAATGTTTTCCAATTTGTACACTTAAAAGTAAACTTTTGAAATCACCATGAAGTTAAGTATACTTGTTATTTCATATTCTCAAGAATAAAGGCGCGAAAAACAGAAACATTTATTTAGTTAAACCAACGTTAGTCTCTCTTTTACAAATACTTGATAATATTTTAATCCCTTATTTTCAGACCTATGATCAAAAGGTCAATTTCTCGTTTTCCATTGATTTGATACCATAAAAGCACAAACACAATGCTATTATGTAGATATTTACAAACATCATTTCCACGTCCAATCTATTAGCTGTCATTGTCATTGACCATTAAGATGCATCGTCACATTTCTTCATAATAACATGGTAACAATATAGATTTAAACCTATTATGTAAATATATATCATAAGTATGTCCCTAAGGATAAAAGTAACTATCTCTTGTATAACTCCAAGACAAACATTGTTCTAACTAAACAGCATATGTTATACTGTCCGCATATTGATTAACTATGTGGAAGTATTGACACTCTTAGAGTCTTATTTGTTCATAGAAACGCTGGTATCACCATTTCCATAGAAATTGAAAACTGATCTTTCAAGTGTTATTCACTTAAACTGAGTCAAAAGTGCATGTAACATTTTAGAGTCGAATAAATAATTTCCATATGCAATTTATACAATATTGTATCTATCTATAAATGTCAAAAACTTTAAACCTGGAATCGTTTTCGAAGACCAGCATTAACGTGTTAGACGAAGCTTGATAAAACTAAAAGCATCGTATTTGTCAAATAAATGTTCTCAACTAGCAATCTTTGTAATCACTAGCTTGTTCTTCTTGCAATTCATCGAAGATTACTTTTTAAAATACAAAGAGTCATTTTTTTTCTGTAGAAAATTGATAACATAAGTTCCTCTGTATCAATCTATTCTCAAACATGTTAAGTTTAATGCAAATTTTTCTTGAAAGTCGTTTATTTCTAAAGATTGCTTGGAGTTTTTGTAAAAATGTGGAATTCAAATTATTGAATAAGTGAGAGACAGAGAGATTACACGAAAAGAGAGAGAGAGAGATTACACGGAAAGAGATTGAGAGAGATTACATGGAAAGAGACGGAGAGATTACACGAAAAGAGAGAGAGATTACACCCAGTTTTCGATTGTGAATTTAATGTTTTACAGTCGTCCTGAACATGCATGCAACATTTGGACTGGATATTAGGAAACCTCAATCAATTAATGTTTTACGAAAGAAAGGCATTACAAAGAGAGTTATCGTTCTCGTCTTCATGTATGACTAAATATACTTACGTATGAGTAGGTTATATTTGAAACCTAATTTCAATTGTTGCTAGATTACTTATTAAGTGCACCAAAAAGACCTTCGGGATTTAATATGTGT